ATCAACCCAGTCTCACGGCATTTCGTGTTATAGTCACCACATCTAATCTATTGATTCGTGTTCACCAACACGATTTTCACCTTTTTTTCGTGTCACACAGAACGATTTGAAAAGCAATGTATTTCTACTGGTAGTATGTTTCGTGCCTGCAACACGTCTTTTTGTCCGGTCGGGTCTTGGAAGACCGGAAGCNGTGGGGTTCATAAAAACATGTTCTTACTCAATATCAAGCCACGATTATTGTTTTTATTTTAAATCTTATGTCTCACTTTTTTTGTCGTCTGTGAGGAAAATAAATGGAGCTCAGAGCCTCAGAATACTGAAATTTGTATTTTTTAAATCTTTTTTTCCTTTTAATTTGTTATTCTTTTCTAAATAACACACTGTTATTTACTCACCAATAACACACAATTATCCATGTTTTTATTTATTTGTTTAATTCCATAATCTCTGGCTTTTTTGGCATCCTCCGTCAGGAACTGAATTTCAAAATAAAAATAACCGGAAACAGACGTAGGCCTTTATTGGACATTTCGAGCATCATTGCGATACACAGCCACTGCACTGATTACCCAAGATCCTCAGCTATGGTTTAAGCTCGGTGATTGGATGTTTTGTCCGCAATGCACGTTGGGATATGGTGTTAATGTGATATGAAATCCGAAAAACATTTTGGAGTTTAGGATGACCGAAGACACTACACTACCCATAATCCCCAGCTATCGTTTGGGACTACAGTCCCCGTGATTAATCTTCAAGCTCTGGGATTTGGATGTTGGAGTGGCAGTGCGCCAAGGTTACGCCGAGCGTCAAACAGCTGTGAACGGATTTGAACGGGACCAGGCAGGTTCTGATTAATGATGTGAAATATAAACAACCCTTAAATCAGACTTTAGTTACACCTGAGTAAAATTCAGGGAAGGTGATTGTCAAGTGCCAACAATCAGGAGAGATATTTGATAGTTGGTGCTTGAGAAGACTAAACATTTATCTACAGATCTCTATAAAGTATATTAATTACTCGTTATTCTTTACTAATAGTTAATTAAAGACTGTATATAACTGCTTTTTTGCACATGCCTTTCAAGATTTCCAGATTTTCTAAGGTTTATTGACATATCATATACACAACTACGGTGTAGTTACGCAATAAATGAAAAACTTGGGTCGCCGGTTCCTCAACAGTGCATTACAAGACATCTATCAATATAATATATAATAATCGTGGCTTGATATTGAGTAAGAACCATAGACTGTATATATCAAGAACAGCTTCCGGTCTTCCAAGACCCGACCGGACAAAAAGACGTGGTGAAGGCACGAAACACATTACCAATAGAAATACATTGCTTTTAAAATCGTTCTGTGTGACACGAAAAAAAGGGGGAAANAAAATAAAAACAATAATGGTGGCTTGATGTTGAGTAAGAGCATGTTTTTATGAACCACACGTGCTGCAGGCACGAAACACATTACCAATAGAAATACATTGCTTTTAAAATCGTTCTGTGTGACACGAAAAAAAGGGGGAAATCGTGTTGGTGAACACGAATCAATAGATTAAATGTCGTGACTATAACACGAAATGCCGCGAGACTGGGTTGATATACCTCAACAGCTTTTTAAAAAAAAAACTATTATGACTTCTACCAATAAAGCACGTTTACACTAAATGACTGAAAGTATGGCACGAGTCTTTGACACATCATCATCATGCAAACAAAATAAATTAAAGCTAGAAAAGAAAGATTGAGGACCGAACTAAGGATGCTTTCAGTAGTAACAAATGGCATCGTAATACTTAAGTCATGTAAAACTTGTTCAAGTGTTATTCTGCACACAAAATAATCAAGACACTAATCATGCAGTTAAACATATCTAAGGTTGAGCAAGCATAGCATGCGACAGTTTCCCACTGTTTTAATCCAGAGACTGTGATGTTCCCACGTTTCTGTCGTGCTAATGAAACCCAAACTCCACGTCTACAAACTGAAACTAAAGCCACACTCATGGAAGTCCTGGTTCTGCTACTATTTGTAATTACAACTCAGCTGTCAGTATGGATACTTGCATACCTGATTGTGTGCTATGAATGGTTATTAACTTAGAAATGGCTTCTTTTTTTTTTGTGAAGATCCATGACGTCCTTTTCTTGTTTCCATCCCCTCTCTCCATTTGGCACCGAACTGTTTCTGGATGATAACATTTCAAAGGCTTTTTTCTGCAGAGGGATGAAATCCAGCTCTCTTTAAGGCCTTGTTTCTCCTTCCCTGCCCACGGTGCTGCTGCCAAACTCTTCCACTGTGAGGGGAATCATTAAGCCCCGCCCCTTCTCTTCGGTAGCGTCTGCTTCCGGGTTAAAGGTCAACCATGGAGGCCTTGGCCAGGTCCTTAGTTCCCTGGAGAATTCTCTTCATATGACCCACTTTCGATATCCCCAGATCCTGAGGAGAAAGAAAGGAGACACAGAGATTAGAAACACAGAGAGACAAGTCTATCTCGAGTCAGGTGACCAAATCAAGGGTCGACTTTATTTGCTTCAGGCTGAAATATCTCAACAACTATTGGAGGTTTCCAGAGATACAGAGCTCTGTTGCCATTTTTATAATCAGGCAACCTGTTAGAGCCAGTATTTGTTTTTTATAAAAAAGGCCACCTAATCGTGACGTCTGTAGTCAACACAGTATAAAAGACTACAATTCCCAATAGGCCTCCTCTAAAGAGACAGAGATAGAGAAGCCCCTCCCCTTCCGGGGGACCTGCATGGGACCTTATTTCGGATAAATTATGTATTGAAGTCAATGGACAGAGAAAAATTATCTTTCGATCCCGTTTGAATTGTGCCACGAATTACACATATGATGTTTGTCAATTTAAAAATAATTTTCCATGTCAAAAAAGTCACAGTTTTTCGTAAAACTGTTGAAATATAAGACTATGAAAAATACCCAACTAGAAACTACAAATCCCAGAGTTGCGTAACTGATGTCATAACTGATGTCACAATTGTTTTCCTCCACCAAATAACAGATAGCTAAAATAAGATAACTTTAACAAGATGCCTGTGT